CGGCGGCAGCGGGGCCCTGTCTCGGGTCTGGGGCCGGTGCTGTTCCCCTGGCCCGTGTGCTGGTCACTCGTCACCGGGGGGTGTCCCTGGCTCTTCTGGCGCTGTCACACTGGTAACTCACACTGGAGTTACACGAGCTGACAGATTCTACATCGTCTGCTCACTCAGTGAAAAGACGCTCTGTCAGTTGTGACACAGGCTGTGCCTGTTCTGAGAAACACCCAGTGTGGGCTTCACCGGGCAGGGCTGGCCAGGGGACACTGAGGTTGGCCACAGGAGAACAAGCATCTCTCACCTGCCTCATTTCAGTTTTTGACAGACCACGTGCGTTCCGACCTAACCAACAAATCCTAATTTCTGTATTTCAGTTTGTTCTATATGGCACAACTGGTTACACACTGAGAGCCCATCAATGGACTTGGAAGCTAAAGATGAAGAGGAAGAGAGTCTGCAAACAGCTTTCAAAAAGCTGAGAGTGGATGCAGCAGGGTAAGTGAGCCACCAAAAGGACCGTGTAATTTCTCAGTTTCTTATTACATAGATGTATTTGTTTTCTGTTAGTTTGAATCTCAAAACACGTGTCGTTCGGTGAAAGGTTCCTTCCTCTCCAGGAGGAGACAGCTGCATCACTTCAGCTGAAACGCAGTCATTCTAACTGTCTAATAGGCAAAGCAGTACTTTATTACTGACTAATTTCAACACAGTATCCAACTGAAATTGCACAGTGACTATATGAAAACATGAAATTACTTGCCCAAAGCAGCTGTTGTGGTGGCCAAAGTCACCATGTGTGATACAGAACTTGTTTTTCTGTCCATGTAAAGGCTGGTGTCTTCAGCCACGTTACCAGCCTTTACTACAGTGCATGAAAGTTTGCTTGGGAAGCGTCTGCAGGACAGCAGCATCGCTTGGTGGTGTGCTGGAGAGCCCAGTCTCACTGGAGATCATTAGGCTAAATACAAACACTGACCGTTTCTGATTTGGGGAGATTTTGTAGAGTGAAATGTCTGCAGGCATTCTTACACTAAAAACTCACTCCATAACACACTGGATATACTGAAAATATGTAGTATGAGAATCTTCCTTAAAAGGAGGAGTTAATAAAGTTAAGCAGTCTGACACTTCATGAGATAGTTCAAGTCTTTTGGGAATTCCCAGACACAAGAGAAAGCTTTGTGTGGATTATTGGTGTTACCTTGTGACTTCATCTCCATAGGTCAGTACTGCGAACTCATTACTTCCTCTGCATGTTAAAATGTCTTTTGCTTTGCTCCTCATTTCCTCTACTTCAGGAGCTCTTCTGTTAAATGTGGAAAAAAACCAGCTGTTCTCTAGCAGGGCACTGTGCTTATTAAGCACACCACTTTTGATATTACCAGTGACAGACTCTGTGGAGTTCTGGTTGATTCCTGATGGTGTTTTCTTAGGCATAAAACAATCTTGTTTTGCAGGCCCGTGTTTTGAACAGCTCAAGTCTTGTGACTAATCCCTTAAGATCAACTTTGGGCAGAGTACTTGGGCTCTTCTAGAATTTCAACCTAATTTCTTACGATTTCCTATCCTGTGTTCCAAATCACAGATAGAGCCATCATAAATACAGGTTTGCGTGCTGAGGCATTTATGTTTGTTGTCTGGACCTTCAGGGCCAGATTTTTTTTTCATTCCATGTTTATCTGGGAAATTTAATGAGAAATAAATTAGTAATCTGTCCTTGTCTGTTGTACCTCATCCACCTCTCCACAGACTCCTCAGCCTGATGCTATGGGCTCCTGACTTTGCATTTTAGATGAGTAGGAGTAGTCAATCTTTAAAAACTATTGTCTGACAACAACATTTGGAACCTGAGTTTACATTCCTCAAATGTGTCATTTCGGTACAAATAGGGCATGACATCAGCCTCAGGGCATCTTGGCCTCCTTTCATTTCATCTCGCCTATCTTTAGGCACTTGTCTGAGGTCAATATATTAAGAGCAGTTAGATAAATCTCTGTAACAGCCTGTTTGTAACCACTGACTGTAGAGGAAGTCAAGGCTGTGAACTTAAATGTCTTAACCAAGCTGAACCTGGACCTCTGAATAGGTATGTTCAGGCACCAGTGTAACGTGGCATTCCCTTTTTTCTCAGATGTATTGCAGCTCTGTCCGTGGGCGAGGGGACGATTCTCAGAACGCCGACAAGAGCAGCCATGGATGGAGCCAAGCAACAGCCAGTCTGCTCAAAGGAAGCGTGGCACGGGTAAAACATACCACTCACTGCCCCTTGCATGTGTTTCTGGTTTGAGACATTTAACACTCGCATTGTTTCCGATTAAAGTTGCTATTAATTAGTTGCTTTTCCATCTTTTATCTCCTTCCTATTACAAAACTTTACCATAATTGTTTGATATGAGGGATATAAGGGGATTTCATCAAAGAGTTTAAAACCAATATTGCCTCTTCTCTTAGCAAGGGAACCTAAAACTTTCTTTTCCACTGGTTTCCTCAGAAGTCCTTTTCTTCAAGTCTTACACCTTTGCAACCCCCTCTCACCTCTTTCTTGGGTTATTCTATTTCTGTATTGAAGTACCTGGATATTCAGTGCAATTCTGCCAGCAGCTCCAATGGATATCCAGGTTCTACACTACAGTTCCATTTGGGATGACAAAGTATCATTTGCTTAACACAGAAGATTTAAATAATCTGTGTTATTATAATCTTAATAACACAGATTATTTGAAATAAAGCTGTTTGTATGTATCTTTGGGAGAACACCAATTTCTTCAGACCCCTCCACTATTCCCGTAAATGACCAGTCACCTGATTTTTCTAAGCATGGAAAAAAAAAAAAAAAATCTAAAACATTTTTAGCCACATGTTAGCACTTATTGAGCTGTGGTGTAGATTCTGGAGTTACCTACTTGCTGACCTGTTACAACCCTGCAGGTGTGTGAGAAAGCCTTCCAGAGGATCGACAAGAGTCCCGCGTCGCAGACGCTCCAAGTCTCCCGTCCTGCATCCTCCCAAGTTTACGTACTGCAACGTGAAAGCCAACAACCAGCTGAAACACAAAACCCAGGCAGACACGTCGAAGAGCAGTATCAGTTCAGACGTTTTTGTTACAGCAGAACACGGTACGAAGGACGGGCACGGTTCTCACTTGGAGGCCAGTGATGACAGAACTGAATCTTTGGAAGCTTTCACCGCTGAAGAGCCTTTGGAGAAGTCAAGAGAGAATTACCCCGCTCTCTCCTTGTCCTTTGAAACTAGCTTGCATTCTAGCCAAACCTCAGATTTCCAGTCCTTATCTATGCTCAGCAATGGCAAGCAGTGCCCCTGTACGGACAAGAAGTGCCAGTGCAAAGAGTGGCGAACCATGGAGGTGTACTCCTTCTCCGGCCTGCGGAGCGTCCTGTCAGAGTGCGAAAAGGCCGTCCTAGGAGTCCACGCCCAGTCTCTTCAGAATAGATCCCCTTGTGGAACAGCCTCCTCGAGTTCTCCGAGATCTTGTTCTGAGCAAGCTCGAGCCTTTGTGGATGATGTGACTATTGAAGATCTTTCTGGATACATGGAATATTACTTATATATTCCCAAGAAAATGTCTCACATGGCAGAAATGATGTACACTTGACTGAAAGCAATGGCAAATCTTGAGTTTGTGATAATGGTTGGGTTAAATGCCTTGTCAGTGCCATGTTTTCACTGTTGTGCGTTTGATCAAACATTTCTTTGCCTCATACAGTTTAGTTTTCTAATAAAATGAAAAATGGAATATAGTTTCTGAGCTTAGTTCTAAAAAGAATGCACTAAAGTCTCTGAATACCTTAACAAAAGCACTGTAGATCAAATGAACTCCCTTTGTTTTTTGGGTTTGTGCTGTGGATATTCAAGCTCTGTATTCTCTTTTCACTGTGTTTTTTTGGGGAAAAAAAAAATAAGCACCTTTTAGGTTTTATTCTGAAATTTTGCAGTGTTTGGAAGGTTCATTCTTAATGTGTCCCGGTACTTAGAGAAATGTTTCATAGCTACAGCTCTATCCTCCTCATCCTGCTCTAGAGAGGAGAATGAGAAGGCATTCAGTATCTTGGATAGGATGGATCTTGTTTCCTTGAACACTACCTGGCTCCATTTTAGTTGGATCAAATTGTGAATACTTCCTCCTCACAAATTTGTTGGGAGGTCCAGTATGTGCAGGGTGTGTGCTTGGACCCTTTCATAATTTAACTAGCTCACTCTTAAGCAGTTCTATTTTTCTGCAGATAAGTGAAGCTCTTAGAAGCAAAAATATATTTTGTTATTTGTGCTTTACAGATGGAATAATTTAGTGGGGAGTGAAGCAGACTAACAGTTTTTTTGGGCTGTGCTGTCTCAGAAGTGGAGACGGTGGAGCCATCTATACAGGTTGTTTCTGAGTATGTTTGATACACAAAGCAGCGTGGAAATAGGGTAACCAAGAAGCGTGTATCATAGAGGCTTTGTGGTGTAGAGCTATAACATTCCTTCTGGTTGAAAATATTGAAATAAAAAATTTTGTTGCTGAGACTTGCATTAATAAATGTTTTTCAAAACCCAGAAAATTAAAAGCCTGAATAATGTGATTTGCACTCATGTTCCCACACAACTTTTTTTAAAAAAAAAACAAAAACAAAACAAACAAAAACCCCAAAATTCTGCTTTCAGTGTCAGCACATGCTTAACTTTAATAGAATACTACTGTTTTTACTTACACTTTAAAAACTAGTGGTCAGCAAGCCAAGGAATCACAAGCAGTTGTATAAAAATAGATTGTAGCATATGCAGAGAGTTGGCCTTGTATCCCGTGCTAGAGAACTCTCAGACATTCTAGATGATGATCACTGTCTGTAGATTTTATTCTAATCAGCCCTAAAATTTACACTGCAGGTCCAGGAAGTTCAGATTTAAAGTTCAAACAAATCCAAATAGATTAACATAAGAATTCAACTAAAACTGTTCTGTTACTCCTAAGTGTCATGCAATTATTTAGCGTTCATTTACCTCCTCACCTGTGAATTGCCATGTTTAAATACTTAGAACTGCGCAGGTGAACATGTTTTTTCCCTCTTGGGTTAGTACTTCACTATCCCCTTTCCTTCACCTTCTTCTGGCACCGTCCTTCATACCCACACACCGTTTTGGTTGTGCTTCCTTCAGTTTTCCCTTCTTTCTCCCCTCAGTAAATCTGGTATATGTACTTTGAAACAAAACTATTTGGTACTCGTTATCTTTGCTGCTGCTATTTTTCAAAGGCTATTTCTGCTCATGTTTCTGTTCATGTTTCGGTTTTGTGCCCTCTTAAAAAGTTTAAAAGTATAGTTGCTAGATGCACTATTTCTCCTTTTTAAACCCTTTTAACAATTGTCCTGCCTCTTGGCAAGCATTGACCTGGAGCCTGACTGGCTGAGGCATAGATCTCTAACGTGCACAAATAAAGCTCTTAAAACTGGTGTGGGCTGTCTGCGAGGAACAAAAACATCCCACCCCTCTGCAGCTGGGGCCCTACGAATGGCACAGCAGGGCTCCTTGCCCCAGAAATGCAGTGTGGGTGGCTGGCTCAAGGTCACCTCAGTGCAGTTGTTTCTGCACTTCTTTAATAAAGCAGGCACAAACCTCTGGAAGAGCCTAGATCTTAAAGCTGGAGTTACATAAAACTGGCAAGGACTGATGATGGAAGGGCATCGGGGCATTTTCAGCGTGCAGCAGACCTGCTCTGTCCAAGGACAGCAAGGGAACTAGAGAAACTAGTCTAAGAAATGCCCTGAAGGTTAGGGCTGAGAAGTGAATTCAAAGCCAGACAAGGGCATTTTCAGCATGCAGCAGACCTGCTCTGTCCAAGGACATCAAGGGAACTACAGAAACTAGTCTAAGAAATGCCCTGAAGTTTAGGGCTGAGAAGTGAATTCAAAGCCAGACAGGGCAGCAGAGTCTGACAGCAGGTTCCCTGGATGTGTTTCTATAGTGTCCTGGGCAGGACAGATGTCACTGGTAGCGAGGGGGGAAGGAAAGAGGAAAGAAGCAACAAAACCCCAGCGGTTTGGTATTCTGCCTCAGTTACCATTTGTGCTCAAGTTGAAGCCTGTCCAGTGCTGCCTGTGGCAGAGGAAGGGCAGATATTTTGGGTTCTTGATTGCAACTACCAGGCCTGTAGCAAACATACCAAAACATTGCTGCTGACATTCACATTGCTCAAACCATCTCATTTTAGTGAAGTGACGAGCTCCAAGAGAGGCCAAAGCCTTCCCGGTTCAGCTCACCCACTTCACTCCTCTGATAACTCAGTGACTGCTGCTTCCTGCCTGCCTGAAAGCTCAAGCATTGCTAGCAGACAGCATCTTCTCTGGGGATGCCTGCACAGCACTAATAGCTTGATTGACAAGCATCAGCTCTTGACCTCAGAGGTGGCCTGGTACCAGCAGTGCTGGGTGCAGCCTTACTGCTCCCAGCCTGCTGCTGAACGTGCCCCAACAAGTACTTGCCCCCGGCTGGCTGCTGACCCTGCCCCAACAAGCCTGGGGAATTTTTTCTGTCCACAGATACTGTAGAATATGTCCTCAGTCAATCTACTGAGAAGAATAATATGTCTAAAAGACAAAAGACTATGTCACAAGCACTGGGGGGCTTTCCTTGGAGCAGATCACACCTCTAGTTCCTATCTCAGCAGCTATAGGCTGTTTTATTTTTTCCAGTGGCTTCCTCCCAACCCCAACACTTTACAAGTTATTTGCCTGTCTGGTTTCAGGACCAGTTCAATGGAAGCAGGATGCAGAAGGGCACCCTGGATCAATGAAATTTATTTCTTGCCTTACAGAAGCCAAACTGAGTCCTAGCTAAGCTTTGCATTGGCAGATGCTGAATCAGGCCACCAGCAAAAAATCAATAGAGCTGATCCTACAGCCTGATTTCCACCCCCTCCTTCTGAAATGAGAAAGGTGCTTCTGTGCCTACAAAGTCCCATGACCAACTCCAGCTGCCTGCTCTCTCCCCTCTGTACCATTTGGATCAGCTCTGAGACGAGACACCCCGGATTGTGCATTCCCAAACCTCCAGCACCCACAATCCTGCCCCGATGGCACCTTCTGCCAGGACTCTGCCAGTGCCACCAGGTCCAGCCAGCCCAGCATCGTCCCCTTTCGCAGGCAGGAGGGCTGGGGATGAGAATCTCAAGGTCACACAAGGTCAGGGCACCTCTAAAGAGGGCTGGCACCCTTCCTGCCCCTCAAGCCTTAGTCAGTTCAGCAAGCCAGACCCAGCTAAATAAAGAAGCACCCCCAGAGGCACCGTGTGCCTGCAGGACATAAAGGGATGAAGCAACTCGTCATTTTTTATTCCCAGCAGTGCAGCATTAATTCATCACAAAATATGCCACTAGATGGGGCTTTCTAGACAGCGATCCGCAGGAGGGAACTGCTTCTGCTTTGTCAAGCTGCTCCTTTCCTTTTCTGAACCCAAAGGTGTCCCTTTTCAGTGAAAGGAGCCCAAAGAGATGTTCCCTGGGCAGCGAGGGCTCTGCTGCCCGGAGCAGGAGGGAGGGAGGGGAGGCTGTGGAGCAGCAGGCCGGGTGGCACTGCAGGATGGGGCCAGCTCCTTAAAACTCAGCTTTCTCCCAGTTTGCAGCAGCACGGGCCACTGCCCTGACTTTGCAGCTCCAAAGCAGAGGCCAAGCAAGACCCTTTCTCTGTGGGTGTCCCCAAGGCCAGCACAGGGCATCTGGCAAGGCTTGGGAAGCCCTGGGCTGGGGAAGGAAGATGGTTTTGGGAGCTGCTGCCTATGGGGGAGAAAGCAGAGAGGAGGCAGGGCAGGCACAGCGCTTCCCAGCCTCACCCCACCACCATCACCCTCCCGCATGCCCTGGGACTGGGGCATCACTACACCAACAGCTTCATTTTCACCTCCCAGTCCCCAGAAAATTGCTCCTTTCACTCTGCTCATGAGGCTGGGTACCATTTCGGTCCTACTCCCTCCCAGTGCTCTTCAGCAGTGTGCCTCAGTTTCCGCACTTGAACCAGTTCCCAAACCCTCCCCTGTTTCCTTCCACACCTGGGGCAACCTCACCAGCTCCAGCATGGGTGAAGATGGGAGCAACACAAGCACAGCCCCAAGATGTGAGCTGGCTCCCTGTACCTGCAGAGCCCTCTCTTCCCTCCTCTCTAGAACCTGCCCCTGTGACCCCCATAACTGGGCTGGTTTTACCCCACAGCACTGGCAGCTTGTCCTATATGTGGGAAATTATCTCCAGGCTGCCACATTGACAGAGTTGGAGCATAACAAAGCCAAGTGTCATAAAGCACAGGCCCAGATGTCCAGGTTGCTGTGTCCAGAAAGGTGCCAGCTGCCTACCCATGTTTCCCTGCAAACCTCTGGGTGATGCTCATAGCACCTGGAGAGCAGCAGCTCCAGAAGCCCCAGCACTGTCCAAGCAGAGGAAACCCGGACAGTTCACAATTGCAACACACCTCACTAATTCTGGAAATGGTCCCCAACCTGCCTGCGTTGGTGCAGGATGGCTGCCCGGTTTGGCCAGGCACCCTGGGGTTCTGGTACACAGGGAGGGCTCCTGGGCCCTACCCCACTACAGGCTACATAATGCTCATTAGGCAGGAATTAATCTGTGCTCCCCCAAAATCACCGAATACCTTTACACAACCATTGCTGCTTCTTTCAATGGAGGTTGCAAGGCAGGCAAGACACCTGCTAGGCATTTTAAAGCCAGTATCCATCAATGTAGCTATTTATTACATATCTGCTGTATCTAAACCAGTCAAAAAAACCTGAATCTCTGCTGCAGAATATTCCTGAGGAGACACAGGGGTTGGAGCCGCCCTGGATCGTGGAGCTGGCAGGCGGGCAGGCAGCAGGAACCTCTGCTGCTGACTCGCCTATTGAAGCGATGCCCGTAGGTTTCTGTGGGAGCCCCGCCACGAGCGGGGACAGGCTGCGATTTCACCCACAGCATCGCCGCTGCCACCACCATCCTCTCCCGTGACCCCCAGTGCCCACCACGGCCCACCCCAGCCGGGGAGATGGAGCTGCCTCAGGAGTGATGCTGCTGGCAGGAGCCCATGTGATGCTGGGCTAACGCCGCTCGCTCCCTCATCCCTCTCCCCGCTCGCTCGCAGGCTGTCATGGCGACTCCCAATAATGTTACTCCCACCAACTGCAGCTGGTGGCCCATCTCGGCGCTGGAGAACGACCCAGGGAAATCCACGGAGGGGGAAGAAAACCAGGACCTGACAGACCCCGCTCTCAAATCCCAGGACAGACTGGTTTTGTACCACTGGACCCAGTCATTCAGCTCACAAAAGGTAAAATAAAAATAATCACTCGGCCGGGTTCCTGGGGAAGAATCACCTCCAGTCCCCAGGGCATCCCCTTGCCTGGGGAGGATGGATACACTGGCCAGAAGGGCAAGGGGCTTGTCCCCAGGGCTGGCGAGGGCAGCAGCGTGTGGCCGGGCAGCTCTTTGGTACCTGCGGTTCTGCGGTTTAACAGCATCTGCCTGGGGAGGGGATGGGGGGGGCTCTGCCATATCCTGCTTTTGCTTTGGAATCGTGGCTTGTACCGGGAGCCGCCTCGGCTTTGTGTTCGCCCACAGCCCCACTCCGGCGTGGCCAGGAGCACAGACAAAGGCTGAGCCCCGGGACCACCCAGCTGCCGGGAGAGGGGAAGGCCCCCAGGCTGGGCTCCTGGGGAGCAGACCCAGCACGCAGCAATCATTTACCCCTGACATTGCAGCAGGACCCTGGAAATCCTATTCTTGGGGTGCTTCAGCTCCATGTCAGGCTCATGGGGCTAAATAGCAAGAAAACCCATTTTCCAGGCAATAGTAAATGCTCATTTTGCAGCACAGCAGCTCTGTAGCAAATCCAGCCATCTCCTCCCGGCCCCAAACCCACCATCATTCCCATGCCATATGTATTCCATGGGGAATACACTATTCAGAGGGGTGAAGGGAACACAAAGTTCCCCCAGTGCCAGGACCCCTGGAGCCCCACGGCCCAGTGGGGAGGCCAAGGGCAGAGCTGGGTGTTCCTGCTCACGGGCACAAAGAGCGGGGAGGATGCCCAATGCAGCAGGGTGGCTGCACATGGTCGGCATCGCCAGCAGCAGGTGACCAACGGGCATCTGATCCGCACCGGCGAGGGATGCTCGTGCCCAGCTTGCTGCTATTTTTATTTTCTTGCTCGTTTAGCCACCAGCAGCAGGGAGGCAGCGGTTAAGGCACTTCTTGCACTGGGTTTCCTACAACCAGCCCCACCTCTGAGGGGCTGGGGACACTGGGGACAGGGCACACCTAGAGCCACAGCACCCGCTGGCACTGCCTGGAGCTTCAGTTTTGAGGTCAGTTGCAGAGAAAGAGCGTTTGATGGAAGGCAGATGGGCACAGGCTGGTGTGATGAACATCGCAGGGCGGGCAGTGGCGGGAGCTGCATGGGAACCCCCTGCAGAGTTTTTTGGGGATCTGACTGTGGGCAAAGCTTCTCCTGGTCTGCCCAGGACCTGCTCAGAACCACCCTCCACAGTGCTGGGGCTGTTTGTGGGAAGGATCCTGAGCCCCCACCAAGATCTGACCCTGCTTGCAAAGGGATTTCTGGAGTTTTATGGCCAGCACTGGCCTCATTGCAGCCATGCCGGCGCTGTGGGCTCCAGGCATGTTTCATCACCCCTGGCTGGGAGCAGGGGCTCCCCTCGCCCACAGGCACTGGGGTTACCCCAGGAGCCAAACCCTCCTGCCTGGCCTTCAGCCTCGGCTCTTGACAGCAGAACAGGGAAGCACAAGGAGTTTGGGACAGATGCCCTGGGTGGTCCTGGCCCAGGTTCATCCATTAGCTGGGAGGAAAAGGCCAAGAGCAAGTAGCAGTTGAGGGACCCAGGCTTTTCTGTGTTTGACTTTAACATAAAAAAAATCATAATTTGCCAGCCCTGTAAATAATTAATGACTAATTCCCCAGGAACTCTGAAGTACTCATAGAAATGCTTATCTTTGGTAAGTTATATTTTTAGGTGTTGCTAGTTGGAGGAAAACAAATGCTTTTCCCCCATTCAGTGGTTCTGTAAAATGTGACTGTCCCACATCCCTCAAGAGGTTTGATTTTTTTTTTCCTATTTGACATACTTAGCTCATAACACTCAGATTTTTATAACCCAGAAGCCTAAAATGCCATCCCCGAGTGCATGTTCAACACCATTGCAAGCACAGAGCACAGCAGCCTAAGCAGCCCTGAGAGCCATCCATGGGCAATGGGGACTGGGATGATGTCCCACATCCAGCCCCACTCCTGCCTCCCCCTGCCCCTCCCCACCACTGGGCTCAGCTTTCCCACCCCAGAGATGGGTGGGTGCCCCCCCAGGGGTGCTGCTCACTGGCCCAGGGCTGAAGAAGGGCAGCAAGTGAAGGCAAAGGGTTTGGCATGAGAGGTACAAAGGTGGTGGGCAATATCCCCAGGCTGGTGACAGTGGGGAGGAGGACAAGGGATGCCATGCAGGCTGCAGGGGCTGCTTGAAACCCCCCACAAAGCAGAGCCTTCTCCCTCCTCTGGCCTGGGAAACCAGAGCCCACCCCCCCAGAGCAGAGCATACCTAGGTGAGCATCCAGGCCTCCTCCAGCTGGGCAGTAGCACCCACTGGGTGCAAAGCACAGCATTGCTACAGCCCCTGGTTCCTCTTCCTCCTCGGTTATATGCTGGGCTACATTGGGACCCACAGCAGCACCACTGATCATCCCCAGCTGGGGAGCTGCTGCCTCCCTCCACCTGATGCTGAGGGATGGGCTCTCAGCCCTCCAGCCCCTCTGCCCATCTCATGGGCCACCAGTGACCAGGGGGAGGATGGTCTATGATCCTGCAAAGTTGGGATGAGTTTGGGTCTCCCCGGTTTGCTGGGAAGGGAAATCCTCCCTTGGCTGCCTGGATTTTGCAGCTGCCCCATGCCAAGAGCTGCTTGGCTTCTCCAGGACAAGGTGTGTCCTGGCACATAGCTCTGCTTCAGAGGTAGGGGAGGGCCAGGGAGGTGTGATGGGGTAGCACAGGGGCTCTTGGGGTGCTTTGAGGGCTCTCAGGGTCAGCTCAGTGTGGGGTGCTGAGCCCTTTCTCCCCGGTGTCGTGCCCCAGGTGCGGCTTGTCATCGCAGAGAAGGGGCTGCCCTGCGAGGAGCGGGATGTCAGCATGCCCCTGATGGAGCACAAGGAGCCCTGGTTCATGCGGCTCAACCTGGGGGAGGAGGTGCCCGTCATCATCCACAGGGACAACATCATCAGCGATTACAACCAGATCATTGACTACATGGAGAAGAACTTCACAGGAGGTAAGGGTGGGGTGGGCTGAGTCTTGGGGGAAACTTGGGTCTAATCCAGATGCTGTTTGTCAAACGTACCCACTTTGTCCTTTAAAGTTTCAGCTTTACCCCAGAAGAGCAGTGAGCTACCAGCCCTCCCCAAACTTCTACACTTTCCCGTGAAAATGAAGGATTTCCAGCAGAAACCCACAAACGTCCTTTGGAAGTGCTGCTTTGGGGCTCTAGGGGAGCATATCTGGGTCTCCTCTTTTTCTGCCTTGGAGGCCATGCTCCCAAAACAGACCATTTCCCCTTGTCCCCATGGCGTGTGGTGGCATCTCACCAGAGCCACAGCTGGGACACGGCCTGTGGAAATACTTCTGGGTTTGGCCACCTTTGTACTTTGGCCTCAGGTAATGGTATAAAAACCCCAGTAACTCCTTGTAAGTGACCCCATTGAGAGAAGATGGGTGTGAGCCAGGTGCTGTTGCCCCTCTCCCCTTCCTTGATGAGCCCTGTGCCCCCAGCCATGGGCACCATCCCCCATGTCACCGCATCTCAGGGAAAACAGCCTCTAAAGTCACAGAAAGCCAGTGGTGCTGGGGACCATGGGAGGATGATGTGACACAAACCCAGAGGAAGGGACAGCCAGGAGAGAGGAAGCTCGTATTCCACCCAGAGCAGAGCTGCAGGCAACGGCCACCCAAGCCCAGCACATAGGGATGCTGAGATGATGCTCAAAGGCGGCTGTTTGCGTGGCCACTGCGGCAAGTGACCTCTCCCCAGCGTCTCACATCCCTTCACCCTCATTTCCCCAAACCTGCGGGCTGTCAGGCTGGGACGCTCTGTTGGTGAAGCTTCAAAGCTGAGTAGGGAGATCATCTGTGCCGTCACGCCGCGCGCCCCAGCAGTCATCCCCCTTGCAAGAGAGACATCAAAAACATCTCAAAATAGCTCCCGAAGCAAGGGCGTCTTGCCAGCTCAGCTGCTGTCCTCTCCCGGCCCCGCCGCCGTGATGCTGCTCGGTAGAGGCACGATGCTCGCTCACCGGCGAGGCAGCGGGGATGGGATCGGTCAAGAGGAGCCCACACCACAACAGCTCCCGGGGAATGACAGCCACTCTTCTGCCTGGTGGCAGCCCTGGGGTTGAGGGACAGTGGACAGCATGGATCTGTGGGGTCCCTGCACTGCTTCACCTGGTCTGTACAAAGGGCAGGTGGTCCAGTGTATGTGACAACAGGTTGACCCTGGTGGGAGGGGGACACAGCACTGCCTGTGCGCTGGGAAACTCCTGCCATTGAGATTTTCTGTCCAGTTTCTTATATTTCGCTGAGAAATGGAGAGGGAAGCTCTGGGGCAGCGGGAGGAGGGCCTGGAGCATCCCTCCCTGCTGCACACTCAGCCCTGAGTCATCACCCACCAACGCTGGCTGGTAAGAGCGTGAGCAGGATGCCAGGGCGTTGGTCTGAGGGGGCATCACCCACCTGGCAGATCTTGAAAATGCCTTGATAAGAAAATGTTCTCCCTGAGTTTTATTTCCCCCAGGGATGGGAGCGTGGCCTTTTTCAGCTGCTTACACACACCCTGAGGGTGAGATACCAGTAAAGGGTGCTGTGATGAACAGTGATTTTCTTTCCCCCAAAAAGCAGTGAATAGTGCCAATAAGCCACCTTTGAGGGTGCTTCTCCCTAGGGCATAGCCCAGCAAGAAACCACTGACAGGTTGGCTGGTGGCAATGTCTCTCAGAGCCTGGGAGAAGGGCTCCTCCCAGAGCTGCAGCCCCCAGCCCCATCCTTCTGAGCCTCCCCCATCCCACCTTCGTACAGCCCATCACTTGCTGACTGTGCAACAGCAGCCCGTACATGCAGGTCCACCATGGCATGCCAAGGCAGAGCAAGCCCTGTCCCACCAAAAAACCTCCCTGGGATGTGCTGAAGGACACAGGGTGGCAGCCAGCACGCTGGTGTTTCATTGTGGTCACTCCATCTCGCTGCTGGACAGAGCAGTCGCTCTGGATGTGCTGGTTTCCAGCCTGAGTGTCAGCCTGTCGGGTGCTGGCCAGGACCCTGTGGAAGAAGCATAGGGGCTATGGGTCAGTTATTATTATTTCATGCATCCAGTCGCTTTTCTTGGATGGAAAATCCCCACTTGGAGAGCTGGAGTCCAAGCAGCACACCAGCTAGCAGCCCACAGGCAGGGAGGAGGTACAAGGGGACAGCAATGCCGGTGCCCATCGGTCAGAACAACTTTACGGAGCCTACCAGCCCCAAATCAGAGCTGCTGGGAGGTTTGCAATACAAGAGCTGCCCAAGATGCGAGCATGCAGGGAGTCCTGCACTGCAGATGGCACGTGGGCAACCGGGTGCACCAAGTGCCAGTGGTAAATTTACTCACTTCTTGTTAACTGCTGTCTGGAAATGCCATAAACATTTATGATCCCATTAAAAAAATAGACCTGGTATTCTTGGGGGAGACAAGAGCAACGTTTTGCTCCTTGTAGTGTCATCTGCTGTGTATTTTGAGCTGAAAGTGTAATAAAAAGAGCAGGATACAAACTGCCATCCGTAAAAGATGAATAAAACCCAACAAGGCAAGGAGGAGCAGAGCTGGCCAGGGTGGGGGATGCTCCTGCAGCTGAGGCACTGGCTGAGCAAGGAGGGAAGATGTTGTAGGCTCCTTCTTTGGTCATCAGCTCCCTGATTACCCATTTTGAATGGGATTTTCAGGGAAGCCCAAGAGAATTAGATGCCTCACTGCCACTAGTGTAACGAGTGCGTAATTCAGGAGATCCCAGCCCTGAATCCCTGAGTTTTAGCTGTTTTCTGCAGAATGGGAAGATTTTGTTCCCCTCCTGAGAGATGTGAAACTGCAGCATACAAATTCAGGGGCTGCAGAGGCAAAGGCCTTGCTAGGCTGATCTCCTGGGGACACGGGGCTGCAGGGCTGGCTAAAAACACTTGTAGACATGGCCGCGGTCCTGCAAGTTTGCCCATCTCGCCATGGGCTGGACGCACTCCTGGCCAGGACGGGCAGTGTGGAGGGGGCAGAGCCAAGCGTGGGGTACAGTTTTGAGTTAATGCATCATCCCAGCCAGCCCTGCTCAGAGGTAGCTCGAGCCAGGACTTCACACTGGTGTCCCACGTAAGCTAACGAGTGTCCCACTAACACTTTTCCCTTTGTCCTCACAGAAAACGTCACCCAGCTGATCCCCGAGCCAGGCAGCCTGCTGCACTCGCGGGTGCTGCAGTACCGGGAGCTGCTGGACTCGCTCCCCATGGACGCCTACACGCACGGCTGCATCCTGCACCCCGAGCTCACCACCGACTCCATGATCCCAAAGTACGCGACCGCTGAGATCCGCAGTAAGTCGCCTCTCCAGTGGCGCTGCCCCGGCCCCGTGCCAGCGGGACGGCTCCCCCAGCCCTTCCTTTAGGCTCAGTTTGGCTCCGCAGCCCAGCCACCCATCCTGCTCTTGCTCCTCTCCCCTTTCCCAGGCAGGGACAGAGCTGGGAAATGGCAAAGCACAGCTAATTTGGGAGCTGCAGGCCCCCTGTAGAGGCTTCCTAACACCAAAGGTGTCCGGGCTTCCATGGGCCATTCACAATTCTTGCCCAGCTCTTTCTAGGGCCCCTCTCCAGCACATCCCCTCTCCCTCCAATAGCTTAAGGGCAAATGTGGGAGAGTGCAGCCAGATGGAGTTGCAGATAGTGGATGAATCGGCAGAAGACTGTACCTGACCTTCAAGCACTCATGAAACATTGACGATGCTTAATATAACTCAATGGTAAGGACTGCTCCTGGGGAGAATCCCTCACCAGAAAAGTGACCTTGTCAGGAGAGCACTGGCATGTCCCACGTCTCTCCCCTCCTTTAGTCTCTGGACTCAAACTGTGCCCAGAGCAAACATTGGTCTCCCACTAGTCCTTTCGGCTGTCTGGGTCATGGATGGTCCCTCTGAAATGGATGGACTCACTCATAAAGAGAAATAGGCTGTTCTTGAGGTTTATCTCATGGTCTGCCCTGCCTCTGCTGGCACCCTGCACAGGCAGCTTTCCCTGTGTCACCAAGCATCATCTTCACCCCCAGATCATGGGCAGATGCAGGGTGCAGAGCCTGTCCCCTCCCCAAAGGGTGCTGCTGTGATGGCTTCAGACCCCGCCTGCCTCACATCACCTCCCCAGCACTCTGCTGAGGGCCTTCAAAACATCTCCCCATCCAAACCTCCTTGCCGGTGGCATTTTTCCCGTCATTGCAACGGAGGGGCTGTGGGCAGGTCTATGGGATGCCCCACTGCTGGCAGAGACCTT